TTTCCCAGGGGGGGTCTGCGGCCAAGGTGAATTTCCTTTGCAGATTTCTAAATAATAAACTGTGTTAGGAAACTTTATTTGCACACTTTGAAGGATGACAGCAAATACAATAATTTAAAAATGTGCATGTGAGTTTTTGAAAACAAAAAATGTGGACTCTTCTTTATCTTGAAAATGATCTAATATGCTTGCAAAGAGGTTAGTTCATTCTCCAAAGTCCTGAAAAATACCTACACCTTTCAGGGAAGAAACTGTGATTTTATATTCTCATCTTTTAGGAGGTATTTGGTTGGATCCAAACAGGATTTCATGCTTTATTTTCTTACTTTGTTGTTGGTAACTGTCATTTTTTGCCCCTGGCTTTGCCCAAAAGCAAATGTTAGTTTTCCGGTGTGTGTAAGTGCCACTGTGGTCTAGGCAGGCGCTGTCTGGGTGCTTCCTGGTGTTCACTGGGTGCCTCGGGCACTCGGAGCATTGAATTTCAAGTTCAGGGTCAGTCCTAACACGGACATTTGGGTTTGAATAAGCTGGAACAAAACCGGCCACAGCATAACCAGCCAGCAAGTCACCATGTTTAGTAACTGCCAGCTCCACCTGTAAACAGGTTTTTTTTTAGCCATTTCCTTTACACCGTCTATGATCTTTGCCATTTTTTGGATCCTTGTTTAACTTCACCTGCAGTAAATAGTCCATGGCTTTCCAAGCAGCTTTGGGCTATAAAATTCCAGTGTCTGTGGGGTTTTCCTTCACATCCAAGCAAGTCTTTGTGACACCAGCCAGACGCCCTACCATTCAACTCAATTCTGAGACTTTCTTCCCGAGACTCAGGTGCCGCGGGGTGAAGGGCTCCGTCCTACAGGACGGTCCCGGCCCCACCTCAGAGGCCAAGGGCAAGTCCAGGGTCCCTCTGTGCCGATGGATCGGCGGTAGATAGGAGGTTCCCGTGACCCCCGCCTTTGGTTGGAACCATCCGCCAGAACGGCTCACAGAGCTCAGGGAGATAGATGTTGGATCTAGCCCAGTGCTAGTCTATCGTAAAGATGCTCTGGAGGAGACCCATGGGGCAAGGTTTTGGGGGGAGGGCCTGGCGCTTCTGTGCCCACCAAGCATGTCACTGAGTGGCCACTCACTCACTGAGCAGGCACTTTCCAAGCTCCGTCCTTTGGGGTTTTGTGGCGGCTTCCTTTCATGGGCGGGGTGGATGAAATCGGGATGAAATGATGGCCGCTGGATGGATGGATGGATGAAATCGTTGGCCGCTGGTGGTTAACCCAGCCTGTTGCTCCTCTCCGCTGCCCCGGTCGGTGGGAGGGACCGAACGTCCCACACGGTTGGTTCTGCCGTCCTCCAGCCCCCTGCCCTCACGTGTGGGTGAGGGGTGTGTTCCAGGTATCGGGACACCTTCCTCTCTCATCACGTAGCAGGTTCCAAGGGTTTAGCTGCTCTGTGCTGGAAATGGTAGGAAGACCAGATTTATATTTCTTTTTATAAATCACAGGATCCCAGGCCCCTGTGCTCCAGTACACCTTGGCCAGAGGAGTCAGTTCTCATGTTGTTGTTGTGACATAAATCACACCAGGAAGCTCTGGGGTGGCTTCCTGTGCGTGAAGAGAAGGGTGCAGTTTTAAGTTGCATAATTATCAGTTGTACGTTTTTAGAATAATGACAAGTTTGACTTTGTTATTTTTCCGTGACCTTTCACACACACACTTCACGTTGGGCCTTGAGTGCAAGCCAGGGGTGATTTTCTGTCCGAGAATGTGACGCACCTCCTGACTCACGACCCCAGCGAGAAAGAGACGACACGCTGGCCCTCCAGAGCTTCCGGACCACATCCAGACAACGGGTTCTTCCAGGCGGAACAATTGTGATTTGTTAATTTAGAGTTATCAGTGATATTATTACATTTTTAAAAGTGATTTTTTAAAACATTTTTACAAAGTCGTCCTTTAACTAAGTTAAAACAGGTGCTGGGTTTCTCGTGGTGGGGAGAAGTTCAGAATTTTTATTAAAGGGAGCTAAAATGTGGAGCCAGACAGGTTCGATGTACATGAATTTCACGATTAAATAGAAGCCCATCCACAGAAGGACACCCGTCCCGACCTCTCCTGGGTCCCGGATGATGCAGCGGTTTCAAACGGTGGCGCCGCGTGGGCTGTGGTGTGGGGTTGGGTGGCTGGCGGCTTCCTCTGCGTGTCCCCTGTCACTTTCCTCGTGGCTCGGTGACCTTCCTTCTCGGAGTCGCACACGGTTCTCGGGGATTCCTTTCCCGCCTTTGAAAGTCCGAGAGGCCAGGCGGACGTGCCTCCGAGTCCCGGCGCCGGCGCAGTGTCGGTGCAGTTTCTTCTGTTTCTTCCCACCGCCGTTCCCAGAGACGAACCGGCGCCTCTTCCCCGAGTGGTCGAGCTTCTAGGGATTCTGGGTGCGCTTCATCGAAGGAGACGTAATAAAAGAAGTGTTTCTTTTCGCTTCCAGCAAATCCATTTGAGTTCCGAAAAAATTCTCCCCTTTTCTAATAATTTTCTTTTCTAACGTTAGTTTCTTTGTCCAGGTGTAACCCGCCCCCCACTTCTGTGTCAGTTATCAGCTCAGTATCAGCGCGTGCGCGTGACAGACACCCACACAGCAGGGCACCTCCGGCAGCCCGGGATTCCGACGGCCAGTTTCGCCCGCTGAGACGGGCTGCGCGTCTCGTCGCGGGGGGTCCGGGGCTTCCTCCAACCAGACGGGGCCGGAGCGATCGATGCCTGCGGTCACTGCGCAGCGACAGACCGTGAACGCCTCGCAGGGCTGACCCACCCGAGGCCCGCGGGCCGCACGCGGCCCAGGGCGGCTGTGAGTGCGGCCCAGCACAAAGTCGTGCATTTACTTAAAACACAGAGAGACTTTTTTGTGGTTACATGTTGCAGTGTGTCTAACGTGGGGCCCAAGACAACTCTTCTTCTTCCAGCGCGGCCCGGAGACACCGCAAGGTTGGACACCCCTGCACGCCTGCTGACTGATTTCTAGAAATTTCACTTTATAATGTTCCTTTCGGGCGTACTGCAGCCGCAGGCGATTCCCATTTGTGTAGCGATGTCGAATTTGGGAGCCCTCGGACCTTTCCTGTCTGCTTTGATCTGCCCCCAAACCTGGGGGGGGTGCATGTGGCCATGGTGGGGGGGCGGGAGGGGGACGTAGCCCTCAGGGACGGAGGAATGAACGAGCTGGAGAAGATGGGGGCCCCGCCGGCAGCTGCAGGGGTGCAGAGGCTGTGAGCCCAGGTTCCCCATTCTCTGTCCTCCGTCCCGTGCACACGGTCCCCCCACAGAACCTTCAGGAACATTCTGTCCCGCAGCCCTGTGGGCCTGGCTTGCTCCCTGCGTAAATCCCTCGAACAGTGTAGTTGGGACCCGTCACGACCCGCTGGGCGGCTGGAAGGGGGGGCTGCCAAACTTGTACTGTCTGTGCTGTGTCTAGTGAGGCCCACATGCGAACCCGCAACCGAGCATGCGCTCTAGAAGCATTCCCAGAGAGCGTGCGTGTCGGCCCGCCTGCGCCCTGTGCCTCTCTAGTCTGCGCGCCCTGGCTCGGCTGCTTTTCCGTGCCGGCGAACCCTGTGGTCTCGGCGTACCCTGTGGTCTCGGACCCTCGCGGTGTCAGCTGTAAAGCAGGACGGAGACGCAGGTAACAACAGCGAGTGGGCTGTGGGGTCCGTGCTCGCTCTCTCTGCCCACGGTCACGAGGCTTTGTCACGGTTTCTAACGGTGCCCAGTCACAGAGACCTGTTACCACAGGGAGGGGAGAAAGCCACTAGGAAGCCGTCCATTTCAAAGTGCTTGGGCTAACTTGATGAAATATGTATCTGTAAGATCAGTCATCTTGTCATGTGTCATCGCCTAGCACATGCACTACTTTGTGTGTGCGTGTGTGTGTGTGTGTGTGTGTGTGTGTGTGTGTGTGTGGTCCGCACCTGCCTGATTGTCCACGTGTTCTCATCGGCTGGTTCTCTACGGAGAGGTCATTTTTAACAATAAAAGTTTCGTCTATTTGATGCCTCTATACATCAGGAAAGGACGGCTCCTATTTAATTCGTTGCCATATCCGTCATCTCGCGTATTTGACCTTTTTGGTGAGCCCACTTCAGTCCCCCCTCTCGGGAGGGACTTCCTGCTTCCCACGGTGCGCGCTGTCACCCGCTCCCCGTGCCCCACGCTGGAGCGCTGTCCTCATCTACACGGTCGTGTGTGTTGCAGAGTCCGTTCACGGGGCTGCGGCTGCCGGCGCGTGGGGCTCCCCAGGCTGCGCCCCGCGTGGAGGGCAGGAGAGGCCGCGTGCTTGTTCGGCTTCCTTTTGGGATTCTGCTGGATTTTACAAGACGTGAGCAAACAGGCCCTGGCTGGCGTAGCTCAGTGGATGGAGCGCGGGCTGCGAACCAAAGCGTCGCAGGTTCGATTCCCAGTCAGGGCACATGCCTGGGTTGCAGGCCATGGCCCCCAGCAACCGCACATGGATGTTTCTCTCTCTCTCTCTATCTCCCTCCCTTCCCTCTCTAAAAATAAATACATAAAATATTTAAAAAATTATAAATCACCTAGCTATTTTAAGAAGTGGCTTGCCGACCCAGTTTTAGTTTTTACGTGATTTTGGGGGGCAGGTAGACGCACCTCCGATGATGAAGTCGTCTGCCGGTGTAAATATTTCTGAGTCCCACAGGACTCGGTTCCGTGCCTTTGTGAGGCATCCTGCGTAGCAGCGCTGCTCTCGCCGGTCGGAAGGCGAAGGAAGGGAGGGAGGATGATTTCTTTTTCCCTCCTGGGATATCAGTCTGTTGCTGACAGAGTGCTATCGGAAGCTGAAAATCTTTCTTTTTCATGAATGATGCATCACGCTTCCTGGCTCCAGAAGTCACCCCTCTCTCTGCCCCTAAGTAGGAAAGAACTAAAAAGTCTAGGAAATAAGGAGTGAGTTGACCTCCGAGTGAACTGAAATCTGTCCCTCCCCCCCCCCGCCCCCCGCAGGAGAGAGCTACGTGTGCGGCTCCATCGAGCCCTTCAAGAAGCTGGAGTACACCAAGAACGTGAACCCCAACTGGTCGGTGAACGTGAAGACCACCTCGGCGGCCCGGCCCGTGTCGTCCCTGGCCACGGCCAAAGGCGGCCCCTCGGAGGTGCGGGAGAACAAGGACTTCATCCGGCCCAAGCTGGTCACCATCATCCGGAGCGGGGTGAAGCCGCGGAAGGCCGTGCGCATCCTGCTCAACAAGAAGACCGCCCACTCCTTCGAGCAGGTGCTCACCGACATCACCGACGCCATCAAGCTGGACTCGGGGGTGGTCAAGCGTCTGTACACCCTGGACGGGAAGCAGGTGAGGGGCGCCCGGGGCGGCGGGGGCCGCGGCCTTGGAGGCAAGAGCGGGGGCGGGGCGGGGCCGGGTGGGGGGGATTTCTGTGGCACGCGGTGGGAGCCAGACACACCCGTTCACACGCGGTGAGAGAGTTGGGTCGTTTAGCGAACAAACACGTAGAATAAAGTGAGCGCGCCCATCCGGGCAGCGTAAAGGGCTACTCAGAGATTGCAACTTGCATTGTCAGCCTGACAGTGCTCCCGGGCCGTCCGATTCCACCGGTGTCAAAGGTCACGAGAGTCTCGTAGCCTCGAGCGTGGCTGAGATGGAGGGGGCACCCTGGCCAGTGGAGGAAAAGGCCCCCCCCTTCCTTTGGCCTAAACATAGTTTACAGAGCTGACTCCCTTGGCGACGGCCCCACCGGTAGGATCTGTCTAAATTCTATAGGTTTGAAGTACACGGGGAGGGCACAGGGCTTCCCTCCTCGGGGCGGCGCATTTCTGGGCACTACCCGTCTTGTTTTGAGGACGGAACCGTGGCATTGAAGGGAAAGGGGGTTCTTCGGCGATGGAATGTAGACGGCAGTTGGCTTGGGTGAGTGGACGCTTCAGTGTGCGCTGCTCAGGCGACCCGGACGGCGGTCTCGGTGGGCTTTGTGGGGGTTCGGCAGCCCCGGCGCAGCGCCGGACGGAAAGACACCCATGAGTGTGCAGTGCGAGGGGCTGGGCCTGGAGGGTGCTCCAGCGTCTCTTTGTTTGGGGTTGTGACGTTGAGCACGCTGTCTCTGCTTGGGATGTAGTTTGTCATGTGGGTCGGCCCAAACGCCATTGAAAAAGTGTTTTGAGGGGCAGCGTGAATGGTTTGTATGAGGAGTGCGTGTTAACAATCAAAACTGGATGCATGCGTTAGCAGGCTGATCTCAGTAAACAGAGAAAGAGAAGTCCCTGGAGGCGGACACGCGGGAGCAGTGAGTTAGAAGGGGTGCAGGTACTGGAGGGCCTGTTCGTGGTGGCGGGGTCCTTCCCCTGGAGCTGCACCCAGCGCTCTGCGTCACGGGTTCCCCAGGGAGGAAGGAATGCCTGCAGTCGTGGATCCCGTTCCTCTGCTTGCCCCACGAAACTCCCCCCAAGTACCCCGCGGGTAAGGGTTCTGAGGGATGGGACCCCCAGTTTTCCGGGTCTAAGAGGGTAATAGCCCAAATGTCACCAACGTGTCCGTGACCGAGAAGCCCACCTCCGGGCTGTGGGTTACAGGACGGTCCGTGCACACCAGCCGTGCACACCCGCACTTGCGGCGGAGGGCACGCACGTGGTCCGTTGGGGTCCTCATCCGGAAAATGCTGGGCACCGTGCGGCGGAAGCTGGGACCCCGGGAGCTGATGGGGAGGCTGAACCGTGAGAGCGGGTGTTCTGGTTGCCGCCTCCGCCCATTCGGGCGGCGTAGCAAGTCCCGCAGACACGGGACAGGGTGGACGCAGCAGAAATGTATTTCTCACTGTCCCGGGGGCCGACGGGCCAGCGCCGAGGTGCCGGCCGCTCTGGCCTGGCGACAGCCCTCTTCCTGGTCACGGGAAGCCAGTTTCTGCAGCGGGAGAAGCTGGGGAGCTCCGGGGTCTTCCCACGCGCTCACGAATCCCTTTCACGGGGGCTGCGCCCACAAGACCTGATCACACCCCGCAGGCCCGGTCTCCCGAGACAGCCACCCTGGGGGGCATGTTCCAACTCGGGAGTTTCTGGACTCACACACGTTCAGCTGCGGACTGAGGGAGCCCCAGAAGCTGTGTCCTCGCTGTCCGTTTGCAGCAACATTGAACCCCTTTCCATGTTGTCAACGTAAGGCTCAAACGTTGCTCGCAAATGAGCCGTAGTCATTGGGGTCATTTATTTTCGGTAACTAGCGTACGAGCTTCTTGGGGTCCAGGAGGTGGTAGTGGTGACGAAAGAAAGGAATCTTTAGCATCTATCACAACATGGTCTTTGGTTTTAAATATGCAATTCTAACGTGAAGTAAGGGTGATTTCGTTCACGCTTGAGTTTAGAGAGCTCTGAGTGTTTCTTCCCCTTGCAAGTTAAAAAGTCACGCGTATTACTTCTGCATCTGACCTTGACCGTGAGTGGGCGCAGAAAACGTGAACGCCAAGAGGTTTCCGAGGGAAAAGGAGCTCAGGAGGCGACAGGATTCGGCTGCACTGGGAAAGGAGCTTTTTCCGTAGCTGCTGGCCGCGGTGGCTATTTTAAAAGCAAGACGGCCATAGTTCTACTTGACTTCTTGACGCACATTTTAACCCTTTCTTCTTGGCAGACAGAGTTTCACTGTTACAATTTGGTGTATTATCCATGTCGTGGAAGTCAATGTTGACACGTCTTAGTTTTGTTGGCGATCGATGTAAAAAAAAAAAAAACCCAGTGGATACAAATAAGTTAGCTTACATTTTAAAATGTCAAGTTAAAGTTTCCTGCAGGAGCTCAGAGCATATCTCAAACCAGCCTTGTGATTTGGCTAGCACGCTGAGTCCATGGGAAATCTTAGCTGTTTTCAAAGAAAAAGGAGCTTAGAATCATGAGGATGCTTCACTTAGGGCACCAGCGGCAGACACCAGGCCCGTGGGCCGAACCCGGGCCTCCACCTGGTTTTACCCGCCTGGCACCTGGTTTCTACCTGGCGGCAGCGCTGAGCTCCGTGCCCCTAGTGAAGGAGCAGTTACATGTACACAGCCCTAAAATTACATTCGGCCCTTTGAAGGCCACCGCGAGGCTGAGGTGGCCCCCGGTGACAATGAGTGTGACACCCCTTGACTTAGGGAGTTAAGGTGCCCAGAATAGAACGTTTGGTTTTCGGTCACCTACCTCTGTAGGTGGCTTTTCAGGACTTAAAAGCCACACCCGTCCTTACGTAGACATTAGTCCCCCAGGTGGGAAGCCTTGGTCCTCTCCCTCCGGTCTGAGCTTACCTGACAGCGTCCTTGGTCCCGGGCACCTGCAGTGAGACTGCGTTTGAAGGAAGGCTCAGATGGGGTTCAGCACAAGTCCGTTTCCTGTGAATCGAGTTGTGGTTTACGGCGAGGCGAGTTCTGGAGACGGGTGCCCCTCCAGTGTGCGGAGGGCCGCCCGGCCACTTGACGGTGAGACGGCGGGCTTCGGGACCGTGCCCTGGGGGAGACTTCTGCTTCCGGGCAGGCCGAGCGCCCCAGTTTGCCCCGTGAGCCGTGTCCGCCCTCGGGGAGCACGCTGGGGGGACGGAAAGAACCTGGGCTCGAAGAACAGGACGGGCGTCCCTTGGTTTGTCCCTCGAACCACCAACCTCTCGGTTAACAACTGGCTGTGCTCACAGATCACATCACGGAGACCCCAGAACTTGGACTTGAAAGTCAGCTGGGGAGGGGAGGGAAGGGAGGAAGATGACTCCAGCTGAGGTCTGGCCGCCCTCGTGTGTAGTGTTTCCACGTCCTCGTCGTTCTGCCGGGGAAAGATCCCCCGTGGGGGTTCTCTGCCCTTTCTGTGACAGTTTTCGAGTGCCTCAGGAATTACTTAATTTTTTCCTCTGTCATAGTCTAGCCCTAAGTGTCTCTTTGCCTCATCTGTTGCTAATGCCAAGAGACAATTCAATTTAGTGTTTCTCCTCTGGATAAAAGCAATTGTTTGAGAAAGGAAAGTCTTTAAAAAATTTTTTTTATTGTTCAATTACAGTTGTCCCCAGTGTCCCCATTACTCTCCCTTGCCTGGCCCACCCCCACATTCAGTCCCCCCCACCCTTGCTGTCCTTGTCCGTGGGACCTGTACGCATGTCCCTCTGCTTGCCCATTCTGCGCCTTCCCCCCTTACCGCCCCCCTCCCCTCTGGCCACTGTCTGTCCTTTATTTTTGTGTCTCTGGTTCTGTTTTGCTTGCTTGTTTGTTTTATTGATCAGGTTCCACTGACAGGTGACATCATATGGTATTTGTTGAGAAAGGAAAATCCTCATTTGGCCCTTCTCCATGCTCTTCTAGCACATTCCAATTAGTTACAAGAATAGCGACCACAAAACTTGGAGAAATCCGGGGGGAATGCACCTGTGGACTTTGACACGGCAGACACGCCTCACAGACCCCGCGCTGGATGGAGCGCCCAGAGCATCAGTGAGGAACAAGTCCCTCCTCCCCTCCCCCCCGCTGCCCCCCGCCGCCCTTGGAAGGCCATGGGCAGACGCAGGAAGCCTAGCTACTGAGCACCACCGTGGCGGCGCGCAGTGGGTCCTTAAGTAATACTTGTGGAATTATTAAAAGAATGAAGGGGAAAACTCATGGGAAAGGATTGTTTCTGGCGGAGTTCCGTGGATCGTTTACTTGTTAGGTGGCGACGTCGCAGGTTGGTGGGGGAGCGAACAATGCCGCTGTGTGTTTCTTAGACCCCCTTGCCCGCGCGGTCTTGTCGGGGGGCATTTGTCTGGTTCGTAGTACCCAGGTTTCGAAGGTTGCGTGGGCATTAATTGACAACATAGGCCTTGGACGTTTTATCACAGCCACTTAAATGTTCATTCTTGTCACCTGGATGGCGGCTGCTGTGTGTGCCCGTCTGCCAATCGGCCTGGAGTCGAGCTGACGAGGGACCCAACAGAACATCTGATCACGGAATGGAAGAGAAACCGCAGAGACTTGTGTCCATGGGCCAGTCAGCCAGTTAGGAAGCTTCTGTGTATTTCTGAGAACCTCCTAACTTCCCGGCTCTTGAAGCCACTGACCGAGGACGTGGAGGCTGCGACCACGAGCACTTAGGGCCAGAGGCCGCCCCCTTGATCTGCTAGGACGGCCGGGCCTCGTCCTCCTGGAACACGGTGCTCCCTCCTGGCCTAACGAGGGATGGATGGTGTGTGCGCCCCTGAACCCCCTGCTGCGAGGACCGTGAAACACCAGTTCGGAGTGTGCGGGCAAGTGGCTAACACCGCGCAGGCGGTCGGGGGATTCCGCTGAGCGTCCAGAAATTCTTGTGCTCCGAGATTGGTAAAGAAGTCCCTTCCTTTGGCAGGGACCGTAACTGCGGCTCATC